TGGATGAAAACAGTCATTTCTCGGTCCTTATCTCAAACATGATTAACAGTTAACTGCAGTATATGTAGAGGGGATTAGAAGCACATACTACGTGGCTTCTTCTCAAATGTGTTAGATTCTTAAAGTCATCATACAGCTGAATGTGAAATATGATCTACTGACTCATACTGAAAACTTTCACAGTAGAGAGGGACAGGCTGATGGGCAGTTATTTCAGAGGATAAAAACCACCACTAGTTTACAGAAAGCTCCTTCAGCAGTGGTGTTATTGAGTCTCCGCACAGTGGTGCTTGCTAACTCTTGTCAGAACCTCTTTGGAGAGAAGAATTTGCCTTGGGACACATAGCTGGTGAGCAGCAATTTAGGCATCAGTCTTACAAGTGCTGCCTTGCTTATTTTTATTTTTAATGCAGAAATAAAAGAGAATATGTAGTAAAGTAGGGTCGAAATGCTATAATAACTGTCCTTGTCATCATGTTATTTGGTCATAAGCAAACTTAAAATAATTGGGTATTTTAATTAGATGGAAAAGCAATATTAGCAAGAACATAATTCAGAGATCATCTCAATTTAAGTAAGATGTAAAAACCTAAGCTGATAACCCTGTAGGTTATATAAAGTTAGCCCCACTCATGTATCAGATGCATGTTAACAAACTGTACTGTTTGTGATTTTGTAAATTTCTACATATTTATTTTTAAGCTATTATTAATATATTTTTCTGCCCGATGAAAGCTTCAACTCTCCTTTTTTGTGCAAAAACATGTATCCATAGAAACTAAACTATTACAGAGGCTGGCTTGACTTTATTTTAACTCCAAAAGTTTTAAGTTTTAAACATAGAAACCAGTTGATTTATATAATTTCTCTATCTAGGCTGCTGTAATGATAAGAGATTTCCTGTCCAATTTTTGAGCCTCAGATGTTTTTTGGTTCATACATGAGACAGAGTTGAATCTTATTGAATTTGGACCTGAATAATTTCATGCAGGCCTGTATTGTCTGGAGAAGGTTGTGTTCAGATGAAAACTATTTCCTGTTTTGAGAAATATTTGCCTGGTAAACTGTTTTAAGAATCTCTTTTAGTACTAAAATTATTATTCTGTTTTGAATAACTCCATAATTTGCTTTATTTTTATAATTGGGAATACTAGATATACATTGCATTCCAGAGATAATTTCTGTTTATACAACAATATTATATGTAAGAATTAGAAGTATTATTTTGAACATTTCTTATTAATATATTTATTAATGTTCGGCATCAAGTTGTGTAATTGAGCTCGCTCTGTTTTCCTAACGTACGTATTCACTGCTATGAATTTCCCTCATAAGACTGTTTTCATTATGTCCCATAGATTCTGATATGTTCTGCTGTCATTGTCATTTAATTGTAGGAACTGTCTGATTTCTTCTTTAATTTCCTCTGTGGCCCGTTGCTTATTCAGAAGTATGTTGTTCAGTTTCCATGTGTTTATGAAATTCTTGCAGTTTCTTTTGCTATTGATCTCCAATTTCATCACTCTCTGGTCCGATAATATACAGGGGATAACTTCAATTTCTTTGTACTTACTTAAATATGTTACGTGAGCGAGTATGTGGTCTGTTTTGGAGAACGACCCATGTGCAGCTGAGAAAAATGTGCATTGTGATTTTGTGGGGTGGAACACTCTGTAAACATCTGCTAAGTTCATTTGTTCAAGTTCTATCTAATATTTCATTGTTTATCTTTTGTCTGGTAGAGCTCTCTTTGTGTCAGTGGGGTATTGAGGTCCCTACTATTGTATTTGTGCTTACATGACTTTTCATTTCCATTAGTATTTGTTTTATACAGCTGGGTGCACTAATGTTTGGTGCATATATAATGATGATTGTCATCTCTTCCCCTTGAATTGTTTGCTTTACAAGGATGTAGTGTCCTTCTTTGTCTCTCTTAATCAGTGTTGGTTTGAAATACACTTGATCTGCAAAAGGGATAGCTACTCCTGCTTTTTGGGGGGTGTTCCTGTCACATGGAGTGTTGTTTTCCATAATTAACCTTTTAGTCTGTGAGTTCCTTTTTTTAATTGTGTGTTTCATGTGCAGCATATTGTTGGATCTTGCTTCTTGATCCATTCTGCCAATCTATTTCTTTTGATTGACGAATTAAGACCACTAGCCTTGATTGTTATGACTGATATGTATTGACTCATCCTTGTCATGACCTTTTCTTTTTTTTTGGATTTTCCCTCTTTGTGTTTAATTTCTTGTCGAGCCTGAGAGATTCATTCTGCTGGGAGCCTGGGGTTGTGATTCTCATTGTCTTCTCCTAAGACATGGTTTAGCATTTTTTGGAGTGCTGGTTTGGTATTCATGAAGTTCCTAAGGTGCTCTTTGTCATGCACGTATCTCACTTCTCCATCAATTTTGAAAGATAGTTTTGCAGGGCTCAATGATTTATTAATAAGCTAGTAGTGCATTAAAAACTTGAAGTCTCATCGCCAATATTTGTTTATTCTTGTCAATGTGCAAGTATTCCTTTATACTATTTCTTTGCATTACTTATTAAAAATAGATACTTCCCCTGCCCACCACACTCTATCTAGTGTTCCATTTCTTTTATCTCTTTCCTGAAAAGAGTTCTTTGTATCTACTGTGTGTTCCTACTGTCTCAGTTACCATCTCCTCAACACACTGCAGTTGAGCCTTTGTCCTTGCTGTGTATCTGAAATAGCTATATTTTTCCAAAACCCATTCACAGTCCTCATTGTATTCTTTATCTTCATAGTACCTGGTGTAATTGATGCTGAACCTCTCTTTAACAATTCTCTGTAGCAGCACAAATGCCTGGGTCTTGCTCTTTCTTGTTGGTGGCTTGTTCATAGTATTTTATCCTAGTTTCCCCTGTTCTTCCTTGGGCAAAGGCCTGGGACTAAGGACTTCGTCTTCTGATTTTGGTCTTCATTCTCCCTTTCATGGTGATCTCCTGGCTCACTTTCCTCCATCTGAGCTTAATAGATGTTTGAAATAAATTCCTCATTCTAACCTCTGCAGTATGTCCTGCCTATTGTCTTGTCTACCTCAGGATTATAATCATTTTGCAACTTAATATGTTCTCCATCCTATTTCTCTTGTCATTCTTTTGTCTTTACCTGCAGACTGTGCACCCTTTCCTCCTTGCTTCTTGTCACTCATGGTCTAGGGCAATCCATTGTCATCTCTGTCCTATAACTTCTCCCTGCTCCGACCTGCGCCTACCCAGTTTGTTAAGGCTGCCAGATCCCACAGAATGTGTGCCTCCCTACAGCATGCACAGCTCCCTTGCTCTGTCCTTCTGCCTTCCCTTTTACATCTGCTCTGTGACCTTCTTTGAACACACCCACCCTGGGACTTTAGCACTGGCTCTTTTCTCCATCAGATACTTCTGTCTGGATATGCATGTTCCTTACACCTCCTCTTCCTTTGAGATTTTGCTAAAATGAAAACCCTTCAGTGAGGGCTTCCCTGACTACTCCAGTCACAACTGGCCATTCAGTATTCACCTCTCCCCTGAAGTTCCCAACCCTCTTACTCTATGTTGTTTCAATTATATTTATCATCTCCCATTATACGGTTGACTTATTGCATTTCCCCTCTTTTATTAAGTATAGTGGAAGATACTGATTTGCTTGACATTTTGTTTGTCACTCTGGTAGCTGCACCTCGCTCCCAGGTAACCAAGGAGTTCTTTGCTTTTGAGACTAAGGTTAATTTTAGCGATGCAACATCTACTTATAAAACCCAGACAGATGTAGTTCTTACCCTCATGATGTTTGCCATCTACCAGGTAGAAGACAAGAAATTATTTATAATAATAAAGAAAATTACAGTGTGCTGTAGTGTAGCATATGACTAGGAAAATGGAATCTGCCTTAGCACTCAGGGAAGGCCTCTTGATGATTTGCTAGGTTCTGAAGATGCACTGGAAAAAGTTTGGCAGTGAAGGATGGAGAAAATGATCATACAAAGGCACAGTGAGTAGATAGATAAGAGATGAGAGGAACTATGAGAAAGGTAGAAAGATCTTAGGGAAAAAGGGAAGAGAGTTTTATATAGATAAACTAGGTGAAGATGAAATTTTGGACAACTGTAGAAAGATTTGCATGGAAACCTGTGCAAGGTTTGAACCAATGGAGCAGCCACCCTTGGAAGTCATAAATCATTTCAGTATCACTCTATTGTTTGTGGCCTCACATCAGACTGGAAACTCGTCTTCCATTTGAATGTGACCCTCTGTGTCATTTGTGATTAGAGGGAGCATGGGAAGTACAGTCATCCTTTCATTCTGGTCAGCGCTACCATAACTTACTCCGGCCTGTATACAGAGCCACGCTTTGGATTGGCTTCCTATAATACTTGAAATATTACTTTCTCCTGCTACCCTTGACCTGATATCTATATTGTTTTGCTATCTCGCCTTATTTTAAAGATATTTTTCCTATCCTGGTACTCTTGGATGCTGTTTTCTTCATTACATTCTCTGAATTGCTAGGACCCTGTGCGCTATTCAGTTGTATTGATCTTGGAGGTTCAGTTCTTTGAACACCTCACTTATAGTCAGGGTTTCAAAGGAATCGTATGTGTTTTCCTCCTGTGTTGGTTTGCTTTACTATTGGAGTAGTTGGATCTGGTGGCACACGACTGTAATCCCAGAACTCTGGGAGGCTGAGGGCAGGAGGCAAATGTTTGAACTTAGAAAGACTCTGTCTGAAAATAAAAGATTAAAAAATGATTTGTGTGTGTATGGAGGGGTGGTGGTATAGCTTAGTGCAAGGCCCCTGGTTTCAATCTAGTACCATGGGGGAAAAAAAAAAGGTTTACATTTTGAAGTAACAACTTAATTCCTAAACACTAAGATTCACTTCACTTGTGTCAGTTGACATGATTTAATTTTCACTTGATTTTGTTACGGATGATTCAGGTGAAATATTTGCATTACTAGTATGTGTGCAAGTACTCTTTATTTCTCCTTAAATTTTCAGTTCTCTCGTGTGTTGAAGAATAGAGCCTGGCCCACCTTTAAACAGGCCAAATCTAAAATCTCTCCACTCCACAGCAGTGATTTCTGCCCTACCAACTGCCATATCAATGTGATGGAAGTTTCTTATCCTAAAACGTCAACTTCCCTGGGGAGTGCCTTTGGTGTTCAGTTGGATAATAGGAAACATAATTCTCATGATAAAGAAAATAAATCTTCTGAGCAAGGTATGTTAACTTTTGAAATGTTATCAAATCATGCAAAGTAATTTAGGCAGTTGCAGCTATTCCTGTACCTTAAAATTTGATAGACTGCTTGTTTGCAAGCAAGCCTACCTTTCATGAAGGATTCCTCACTCTATAATCACTTAGATGATGCATAAACATCTGCAGAATGAAAACGGAGTTGGGCATTTTCATTATGTTCCTTTTAGGACAGTTAATTTTTCTTTTGTTTTGTTTTTGCTTCCCTTGTATGTATGATAGACACAGCTCATTTGCTGCAAAGGCCAGTAATCTGAAATGATCCTGTAACTTAGAGAAAAATACCAAAGGATGCATAGTGCCATTCTTCACCACTGCAGAGGACAATGGATTGAACTAGTTGTAGCTTTTAATTACAATTCTCCACAAACTTTTATTCTGAATTAAATTAAGCACTGAATCGGCACTGTATTTTATATAACCTTGGACATCTAAAATGTATAGGACTGGGCAGCTGTGATACTGGTATCATAGCTATGGAATGTGATTTTAATGGAGTGTTAATTCTTCAGGGAAACTGAGCCCTATGGTGTACATTCAGCATACAATTACAACCATGGCGGCCCCCTCAGGTCTGTCCCTGGTACAGCAAGGTGGCCATGGTCTCCGGTATCTATTAAAAGAAGAAGATTTAGAGACTCAAGATATCTATCAGAAGCTGCTGGGCAAACTTCAGACTGCACTGAAAGAGGTGGAGATGTGTGTTTGTCAAATTGATGAGTGAGTATTTTGTATTATACTTTTACATTTAATAAAATAACTGCAGAAATGTTGACTTTTGAAAAATCCATTCATTCTCTCTAGTTTTAGGACATGTAGAATGTTTGTCCTGATCATTAGATCCTTTTTATTTTAGCACCTTAAAATCATGAAAATGGGGTGTAGATAGATGGAGATTTTAAGCAAACATTTAATATGAGGAAAGAGAATGATCAAATTCTTTTTCATAAAGGAGCACTAAGATTCACTGCAAAATACTACATTAAAATATGTTTAAAGGCGTACTGTGAATGGGATGTCATCTTTTTGTTATCTTTTGCAGTTCAGGGCACTGTTGTAGTGTACATGCACTCAGGAGACACTGTGAAAGATATAAAGCATAATAGATGCATACTTGTTAAATGATAAATAGAAAACAGTATACAGGGCCGGGAATTTAGCTCAGTGGTGCCGCCACCTGCCTTGCAAGCAAAAGGACCCAAGTTCGATCCCCAGTATCAAAAAAAAAAAAAAAAAAAAAAAAAAAAAAAAAAAAGAAAAGATATATATTCTTAACCAGTACTTTATTGTGTTTCTATTGAATTAATTATCCACTAAGCAATAGTCCAAATAGCGTGACCAATAATTTAGAAGTTTTAATCAAGATAAGATGGAGGCAGTTAATAAACACATTTCTAACCAAATCAACTATAATATTTATTTAAGAATTTGAAAGTTGGAGAATTACCTTATCTCTGTAGAATGATTTGTCATATCCTTGTGTATGATTATGGTTCTTTCATATCTTGTCGAAGTAGCTTGGTACCATCAAAAATCATGACTTTGGGACAGCTCTTTATCATTTACGGAAGTAGGTAAATGATAATAATGAAAGTTTTGTGGTGAAAACTATAGACATTAGTACATAAAAAAATCAGCATAGTGTCTGATATTATGCCTGCTTATCCATTCAAGAGATGGGTATTATTGAATACCTTCAAAAGTAGCAGATTCTGAAAACATAGTGTTATCCCATTTTTATTGTTTATTCTCCTTATGAAGTTGTTGATTTGCATTCATAGTAGATGGGGATTGTTTACCTCACACACATATATCATCCCATATTTTTATGAACAATTCAATTTAGATATGAAATATTTAGAACTGATTCCACAGTTTTATTTCAATGAGGCACTACACTAATGGAGTTATAATTGACATGCTGTCTTATTTTTGTATATCTTTGAAATTTAGAGATCAAAAATTATCATACTATGAATGAAATTTAAAAATATCGTATTTTATGTGTTTTATTAAGTTTTATAGGATAATTTAGAATTAAAATTCTGTTTTTCCTCTGTCTAATGATGAACTAGCTTTTAAATTTTTCATATCAGTATATGTTTTCAGTACATAATGATTACATTCTATGTGGGGAATTGGTTTTTAAGGTTTTGTTTGTTTGTTTTTTGAAACAGGGTCTTGCTATGTCGCTCAGGCTGGCTTCAAACACATGGTGATCCTCCTGCCTCAGCCTCCTGAGTGCTGGGATTACAGGAGTTCACCACTACGCCCAGCTCAGGGTGTTGGTTTTTAAAAGTTACTTATCACATTTTATACATTAAGATAAGACTTCCGCATTACAGAAGAATTAAACAGTCTGAAGTTGCTGAAAGAACCTGAAGTTATGTTTAAGCAGTTACGTGGTAGTTTGAATTATCTTGGAACCTTTGTGACAGAAGTTTATATTTTAGGGCTTTTGTTTTGCTTTATTTAATAAATGGGAAGGTTTTTTGGGGAGTACCAGGGATTGAACTCAGGACCTTGAGCTTGTCAGACAAGTGGCGACACCACTGAGCTAAATCCCTGGCCTGGGAAAGGTTTTTCTTTTGTGTTTTGTTTTGTGTTATCTGCAGTTTTGGGGATGGAACCCAGGCCCTTGCACTTGCTAGGCAAGTACTCTACTACTGAGACATATCTCCAGCCCAATGCATACTATTCTATCACATGATATATTCTAATTTAGAAACCAGTTCTTTTCCCCTTGAGGTAGATAGGAAGTATAGAGAAGAATCTTCAGTAGTAAGCCAATAAATAGCACTGAATCGTAGATGTCAGCTCTCAAAAGGATTTTAGGAGAACATCTGGGCCAATCTCGTACTTCTGGTCAGGCCAAGTTATTATTCTCACTGTTCAATCCTTTGTCGGTGCAGAATTGTTGATGTGCCCACGCTCATACTGCTTCAGAGACGAGCCTGTGGTGCAGTGTTAGCGAACCCATGGCACAAACGACTCAGCAGGCGATTTGTATTACTGAAAGCTGTAAGAGCTTTGCCATCACAGCTCTAGTGCATTGATTGTCCAACCTTGCTTGGTCGTTATCCAAACTTGGTCTTTGTTAATTTATTGACTTTCCCCCTTTTTTTTTTTAAGGTTTGAGTAAAAAACTTGAAGGGAAAAATTTGAGCTAAGTAAGTCCATTGATTAGATTCAAAATGTTTATATTTAAAGGACTAATCAGATAAAGGATTAGGTATTTTGTTATCTAAAACTCCTTAAATATGATTGTTTTTCACATTAATATTTCCCCATCCTTTTACTCTAAAAACCTTTTCACAGCTCTGCATATTTGTTAGAAAAGTGACATGAAATGAGTAAATAGTCGAAAAACTAACTTGTTATTTTTCTGCATACACCATATAATTTAATTCTAAATATAAACATATTCCACATAATTCATTCTACAGTATAGTTGTAAAACATTACAGTTGTGCAAGTGCCTAGATTTGCCATTCCCCTTAGTATTCGGAGACGCTGCAGTGCAGTCAAGCTTAACAAATTATCTAAAAAGCTAGTTACCAGTTTTCTCACCATGCAGTGATTATTCTCGGTCAGAGTGGGAATGCAGACCTCAGATGCACTGCCAAGTTTTAAAAGAAATTGCTTCATAAGATCTCATTGCTAGCCTTTCTAGCAGTCTTTCATTCCTGTGAAGGGCCTAGTGTGGAACGTGTCTTATCACGAAGTCTGGAGACTTGGAAACTCTTCTAGAAATGAAACTGCCTTTAACACAGAGGCATTTTGCTAAATCCACCTACTTAACTTCAGATTCAAAGATAGAGGGGAATTTACTGTCCAGTAGCATGAGATAAATTGATGCTATGAATATAGCCAAGGCTTTATGATTTCTGTTTCACTTTGAGAAGCTAAATACATTTGTCCTTGTATGTGTTATTTTCTGGTTAACTATACTTAGATACTAGAAATATATGAAAGGAAAAATAATTCATATATAGTCCAAAACCTTCGATGAGACTTTAAATAGAGGATGCGCCTATTCTCCCACGAAGGAATCAGAGGGTAATGAGGGCTAGTGAAGATAGGAAATTTGGAGACAGATTTCATTTTGCAGTGCTGGATGCCCCAGGACTGAGTAATGGACAAACTGCATCAGAGGACAGTTAGTGACTTGGGGGTTACAGATAGGAATGAATGGTGGTGTTGGTGGTAGAATTAGCTTTGAAGTTTCCTCAAGCATGCTGCTGATAAATATACAAATAGAGGGCACAACTTCAGAAAAACCAGCATCTGTTAAAGGTGTTTCTGTGCCGGGCAGCATTACACTACTATATGCATTGACTTACTTCATTCTTGAAGTTTCTCATTTTGCATTAGGAAACACTGAGTTGTATAATAAATACTTCAAATTTAAAATTGTCTCCAATACCGAATTACATTTTCTGTGTACTCAGACTGCGCTGTAAAATCCCAGGAGGCTCAAATCCCTTATATACAATAATGTAGCATTTGCACATAGGCTATGAACATTCATCTTTATGCTGTATACATTCTCCTATATATCATCTCTAGATTACTTATAATACCTAATATAAGTGCAATATAAATAGTGATTTTATTGTATTCTTTGGGGAATAATGAAAATTTAAAGTGGACATATTTGGTACAGGTGTAGTTCGTTTTTCTCAGTATCTAATCCACAGTTGAATCCTGGAATGTGGAGCCCATAGATCTGGAGGGCTGACTGCAATATCAAATGTATTATTATAGTCTACAAGTTCCTACGTGATCGGCCCTTGCAAGTCATGCAGCCATGCCTGTGAGCGCCTCCCAATCATGGCTCTAATGTAACGACCACTCTTCCCTCCAGAATATGTAAGGTATATGCAGGGAGGGGAAGTGCTGCTTAATTCCCAAAGTTATATGTATACAACCATGTGTCGCACTCATCCCACAAGTGAAATGGGGATTGGGACTAAATAAATTAATACCTGCTAAGTACTTAGCATAGTGACCCGCAGAAGCACTCAATAAATGTTAGGCGTGATGAGGATGATGACATCTTAAATCACAAGTAGATGCAATATTCTATGCGCAGAAATCTTAATTAATGCCATTTAGAGGAAATAGGTATGGAACAGCATGCTGCTCAGGATTTTAATCCAAAGATTAGTAGGTGGCTTAACACTGAATATGAGAAGAAGCAATGGAGAACATTTTTGCATGCAGAAGTAAAATATTACAAACTGAGGCTTTATTGTTGTACAAACAGTGTGTGCTTACACGTATTCCCACAGGGTCGGTGTAAGCATGACTGCAGCTGTTTAAAGGAAAAAGGAAACTTGTGAATACAATTTTTATAACTTTGAAAACACTATTTATGCTTATCCCCATGACTTCTAATTTAAAATACACATAAGCACAGAGGACTCCTTGCAAAATGAGAACTCTTGCATATCTTCCCTCTTTGGTTTTCGGAGTCCGTCTGTCTGTGCAGTATGGAACTTGGGTAATTGGATTTAGCTTATTATTTTAATCTTTTGGGTGGAAGAAATGAATAAATATCAGTCTGTCTTACAAGACATACAAGTATCTTTCCAAATAGAAAAACTGTGTTTAAAATAATTCACAGCTTTCAGTTACTGAAAATGTTACAGAGCCTTGAGCAATGTAACATAGCTTCTCCAGTTTTATAGTTTTTAGTCTCTAAAAACTAGAAAATAGCAAAATATTACTCAAATATCACCTCACAATGAGATCTTCCCTGCAGATAGTATATAAAATTGCAGTTTTTGTGATTTTTGCTTCGTTCTGCTCTACAGGAGATTGAACCCGGGGTACCACTGAGCCCCATTCCCAGGCCCAGTGCCATGCTTTTTGTTCATTTTTCTCTTTAACACTTGCTACCACCTGATTTACTACAGTCGTGCCTCGGTTCATGAACTTAATTCTTTCTGTGTTCTAGTTGCAGAATTCATTCTAGGATTCTGATTGCAACCAAGTTGCAGGCATTCTTGTAGAACAAATTTGGGGACCAGAATCGTGGAAGGAATTAAATTCCTGAACCAAGGTGCTACTGTATAAAGTTTACTTCTGTTATCTTCTTCCAGAGTAATGTTCCAAGGTAGTGGGGAATTTTGTGCATTTTGTAAACTGTTATTTCAAAGCATTAAGAACAAATGAACAATAAATATGTTTAATTAAGTCACTTAATGAGAATTCGATGCACAATACGGGGTTTAACATTGTGGAGTATGTGTGAGATGTATAAAGTGTTTTGATACCCCTGTAATAACCAAAGGAGCATACTACTGCAATGGGAAAAAATGAGTGTCAAGATTTGTGCTATTGGTTGGAACTGAATGGCATAGGTCTTTAGTAAATGAGATTATTGTTGGCTTTAAAAGATACGTAAGCTCTTGGTTTAGATATGGTTCAATTAATCTTGCAAGTTTTACAGCATGCTACATGGTAACAAAGACTAACCCTAACTGTGCCTTGTTTTGAGTTAGACAGTTCTAATAGAAGTTCTAACAGTTGAATATTCAGTCTCTAGAGTGACAGAATCAGTCCCTCCTTGTAGTCATCATGTTTGTCAGGTTTTACCCAAATGCAGTCTGAATGTGGCATTTTTGCCTGAGTGCAGTGGAAGAGTGCTTCCTTTGGACAGGTATGTGTCATTTTGTTCTAGCCAGGTTAACAGGGAGATCAGAGGAGCTCTTGCCTCCCCCTATCCTCACACTGAATGTGACTCTGCCTAACACCTTACAGTCAGTAAGGCCAAGATTTCTGCTTGTGTGAGTAGCGATAAAGGATTGATGGTATGACACACTTTCTATCAAATAGAGAGCTCCTGGAAAAAACCCAAGGTTTGGGTCAGTGGATAGTTGGGTGTTTCATATTTGATGGTAGGCCAGTCGAGATACTAAAGGCTATCTAGTGTTGGCATCTAATATTCAATTAGTACTTTAAAACTTATCACTTATTTTTATATGATGGCAGTGGTGGTGTGGTGAGAGGACAGAGGTAACATTCTCACAGCTGTCCAGGGGGCTTGATATTCTTATTCTTATTGTATAAGTGTCAAAGAGAGCTACCATAGTATTATCCTGATAACAAAGCAACTACGTGCTAGAACCAGGGTTTGAACATAGTTTTCTGGTCTAAATTGGTCTACTTCCAGTTATTCTAAGTAGAAAAAGTGACCTTTGTATGGTCCACTTTTTGTACTCGAGAATTTGATGTGAAACGTGGAAGGTCTCTGGAAGTATTGTAAGCCTATCATATTAAACCAAAGAGGTAGATGTCTGTAGCAGGCTGTTGGAAAATATGTACTTACTATTTTTTTTAATATCACATTGCAGCCTTTTGTCTTCCATAACAAATTCCCCTAAATTGGATCATAAGACATCAGAGTGTATAACACCAATAGACAGTGACAATGAGAAGGGGGAAAGAAATAGCAAACGAGTGTGTTTTAATGTAGCAGGAGATGAGCAGGAAGATTCGGGTCATGACACCATCAGCAACAGAGACTCTTACAGGTAATGCATTAATTTTCTCAACCTCATTTTGTCAACAAAGTCAAATGTGATTCTGTATTTTCCATAGAGGTCTTATGAACTTTTTTCCGTTGTTGGTTTTGTTTAGTTTTCTTTCAAAATGATTATCTGTTATTACCAACATCAGAGAAAGCATGGTGGGACAACATAATCTTTCAAATTCTTCCCTTTTATAATGTGAGAAACTTGGAAAAAGTATTTTTTTTTCCTCTAGTTCTGTAGACCTAACTTGGGAAACTTGTCCTATAAATAGATCTGTGATATTTATAGCAAAGAAGAAAATGATGCCTATATTAACATTATTTTACCAACACCACTTTCATGTCATTGGTTCATTGAATTCTTTTTCCCCTGCATCCTCATTTCTTTTTGTAGTACATGTTTGAAGCTAACTGGACTAATTTCATTTGCCTGCTTCCCTGAACATATTTGTGTTTGTTTTTTCTCTTGCCTGTCTTCTGTATTCGTTTCCTATGGCTGCTATAACAGTATCACAAACTGGGTGGTACAAACAACAGAAATTTATTATCATAATTCTGGAAGCCAGAAATCTGAACCAATGTGTAGACATTGTTGGTTACTTCTGAGGGCTGTATGTGTTCCGGGCCTCTCTCTGTTCTTCTTCATGTTACTTGTGTTCAAATTTTCCTTCCTTATAAGAACAGTGGTCATACTGGATAAAGATCCCATCCCGGTGATGTCATTTTAACTCTAAGACTTCTGCAACGACCCTGTCGCCAACCAAGGACATATTTTTGACATATTGAGAAGGTTAGACCTCAACATACGAATGGGGTGGAGAGGTACAGTTCAACACTTGGCACCTTCACTCCAAACTGTTTTCATCTTTCAACCAGTCTCTCAAATAAGCTCTCCTCCACTGAACTCCTTCATTAAAAGTGCTTTACCTCTCTTTGATTCCTTGCATCATTGAAAGCTCATTGAGGAGTGTTCTGATCAGCCACAGACATTGTGTGTGCCGGTTCAGTGTCTTCTGTTTCATTTGTATTAATCAAAGGCAAAACTACCTCATTCACTCTTGTTTGCTGTAGTGTTTTACAATGAGATGATATTATGTAAATATTAACTAAATTAATGTTTCAAACTAACAGCTAGCATTAAAAGTATTACATTTATTTTACTTTAGTGTTAGAAATTGAACCCAGGGTCTTGTGTACATTTTAAGCATACATTCTACCACTGAATATATTTTTAGCAGACATATGGGGGAGCAGGATGATTTCAAATAATCTTCACTATAAACCCCTGTGTGTTTTGATAGTAATTTGATTGTACATACAAAGAAGGGAAGGCCCATCGAAGCTGTGTAGTTTACCCAGGTGGTCTGGCTTCACAGTTTGTATCTTAGTCACTCTGGTATTTCAATTTCTGTTTCCAAGAAAAAATTTAATAAATGCATAAAAATTTAATTATTCCTAGAGATTTTAAAATGTATCACACAGATTAATTACCTTTACCATTTCATTTACTTTTATCTTCTAAAGACAGCAACACGCTCTTTAATAGAAATCTGTGGTTTTTCTCCAGTGGGAAATTATATGTCTAAAAACACTTTCTATCTCATGTTCTACTTATCAGATAATTATAGTTACCTTCACAGTCTCTCACTAGACTAAGATAAAATTTTTAAATGTAAATTTAAATGTAAGTTTATAATTAAGTCCTTCTTAGTTATTCTGAGAGGTAAAACTAATTTATTTTCTGTGTCATTTCTAAAATCTGTATTATGTCCCGATTCATAAACAAGTATTTTACACATCTGCCCTTGGACACTCATCAGTATTGAGCTCTTCCCTGTGCAGAGGCCTCAGGTGAAGTAGACAAGGTACCTCCCTATGGGAGCCCAGAATGTAACCAATGAGTTATGATTTAAGCTACCAGAAAGAGTTGGAAGGTAGAAATAGAAACATTGTCTGTATTACAAAACTATCTAATTATTACTGTGAAACAAAATATGAAAATTCTTATGTTTGGTCTGACTCCTAGTTTTATAATCACACTTTTTAGAAGAAATCACTTAGGAATAAAGTGAGTATGTAAAAAAATTGAAATGATGGAGTTTAAAATAATATTTTCAACTGACATAATTGAGTTGGGCAAGTCAGTATGCCTCAAAGTTTTCTATAAAACTTGTATATATAAAATGGGGACATAAGTGTATGTAATAGCAGGGAGACTTGGGCAAACTCTTTCCTCCAGTAACATAGAATGCATTCTTTTCAGCGACTGCAACAGCAACAGGAACTCCACCGCCTCCTTCACGAGTGCCTGCAGCAGCCGGTGCAGTTCGTATTTTCACAGTGACGAGATGGACTCAGGTGCGTTCGTTGGCAGCATGTGCGCTCTTTGATGTTACTCTTGTCTGAGATGCCATTAGAGGATTATTTCTCTGATCTCTATGTGTTCTTACCTTTTATCATTTTTGGTGGCCGCACATACTGCATTTCAGTTTCATGTGCTTGAGAAGGTCCATTTTCCAATAGCAATTATAAAGAGAATGAATTAGAAAGAAAGGAAAATAATTTTTTATCTTATGTGTTTTATGATCTTTCCGTGATACTGTGAAGAATTATAGAAATTTATAGAATTTATAAGGAAATAAATTTTGCTAAACACATTCAGCATTGTGAAGTTTTGAACTATAGATTTTTTTAATGACAAGTACAGTGAAGCAAGCTTTATACATAGGAAAAGGGAGAGGCATCAGGAGAAAACACTGATGATCTAAATAGCTTATGCGCATCTTATGTTTGTGAGTGGAGAGCAAATATTTTTCACCCAATAAAAGCAAATGTTATGCATTGCGTATTCAATATGTTTTAATTGTTCAGCCAATAGGGAAACCAACTATTTGAAGAATCATTAGCATGGGCTAGTGCATGCTCTGTGTAACACTCTGCTTTCAGGCATCTTAAGCACCAATTTTCTGCAATTCCTACTGAGCAAAAGAATTCCTATGGAATAAGAGCTTATGTTTAATTATTTTATGTAACGATAGCATGAAATGAATGAGTTTTTTGTTGTTTGTTTTACATCTAGGTGATGAACTTCCCCTAAGTGTTCGCATTTCTCATGAGAAACAGGACAAGATACATAGTTGCCTTGAGCATCTTTTCAGCCAGGTATGATTGGGGATGGTGTGAGTCTTTTTTTATTTTTTTTTTCACAAAATAACAACAACACTGAGATTCCACCTCACCCCAGAAATAATGGCTGCTATCAAGAAATTAATGAATAACAAATGCTGGCGGGGTTGTGGAGAGAAAGGAACCCTTTTCCACTGTTGGTGGGAGTGCAGACTGGTGCAACGACTGTAGAAATCAAAATGGAGATACTAGGATTAGAGGTCTTATTTGACCCAGCTATCCTTCTGCTGTATATCTTTCCAAAAGAATTGTACCATAGTGATATATGTACACCCGTGCTTATAGAATCTCAGTTTGTAATAGCTAAAACCTGGAAACAGCCCAATTGCCCATCATTCGGAGACTGGGTAGAGATGATGCAGTTTTTCTATAAAATGGAGTACTACTCAACCATAGAGAATGAGAAACTAGAGACATTTATAGCTAAATGGATGCATATTGAGGCCATACTCTTAAGTGAAATAAATAGGACACACTTGAGTAACAAAATGGTTTCTCTAGTGTGAAAAACTAAAAGTATAAATAAGGTTCAAGTTGTATAATTGACAATGTGAAATAGGAAGAAAAGGGCTAATGGAGTAGGGGAAGTGGGAGAGGTAGGGGGAAAGAAAGAAGGGAAAAGAGAGAAAATATAAGAAAAGAAAAAAAAAAATGGAAACAAGTCTTTGAAAATAGGGAAGGGTTGGAAGGGGTGAAGGGAGGGCAAGGATATGGGGAAAAATAAGAACCAAGATACATCAATCATGTAAAGGTATAATATCCCAATGATAACTATAACTGTACTGTATACCTAAAAAGTACCAATAAACTTAATGAAAATAAAAAGTTGAAGATTGCCTTCATGTTCATGTTGGTGATTGCATATTTTTAAAATAAAGTTTGTGTGTAGAAATGTTTAACCACTTTGAAAAGGACTCTTGCAAGTTTTAGCTTTTTTGAAATAGCTCGTGGTCTTTTATTTTCTTTCATCAAGTAAATTGATATTTTGCATTAATATATGGTACCATAATAAGGAATGTCATTGCAAGTGTTATCAGGTAGGCAGGCAAGTTTCTTTCCATGGTTTATTTAAATATAGATTTCATAAGCATCATAGAGTTTCAAAAATAATTGTTTCTTTAAGAAAAGGTATTTGATGAGATTTACTTTTAGGAATATATATTATATACTATGAGAAGTGTGTAATTCTCAGAAATCTGCTGTTAATAGGTGGATTCAATTATCAATCTCCTAAAAGGCCAGGCTGTTGTAAGAGCCTTTGAGCAAACCAAGCATCTCACACCAGGTCGAGGATTACAAGGTAAGGTTTAAAACTAACTATTAAAGAAATCAGGAAACAAAAGGTAATAGATAATATAGTCATGAAGCAAAATTATCGCATAGGAAACAATTCTGATAATTCGTATTTCATAATTCACGAAATACTACATGTATATTGATAATTTTTAATACAATTTTAAAAAATTAGTAGCTGCTCAAAATGCTGAGGCAGGAGTACCACAAATTTGAAGCCAGTCTGTGCAACTTAGTGTGAGATCCTACCTCAAAATACAGTTAAAAAGAAAAAAAAAAATTGAGAATGTAGCTCAGTGGTAGAGAGCCTGCCTAGCACCTGTGAAGTCCTATATTTAGTCTTTAGCACAACACCAAAAAATGTATAATTTTTATTATAGATCACTGTAAGCCTTTCACTTTTCTTTGAGAGATTAAAACTTTTAGTGAGTGCGTGTACCGGGCCAAACAAGTGTGTTAATTAAAGTTCATAAGTGTTAAATTGGTTTTACTAATACCAAGCATAATGTCTACTTGGTTATATCCCAGTGATGAGGAAAGAAACTACAAAATATGAGATTGTGAACAGAACAGCAAAACAGAACAGGAAACATAGCTAACACTTTCTAACATCTAGTTTAGGATATTAGAGTGCTCATATAAATTTGCATCTTTGTTAAAACATTTTTAAGAAAATAGTGTTAAGATTTCACTTTTGAAATTTAAGAAATTTTTTGGTATGGTTTACCTAAAGAAATTTCTATCGTGATACTATTTTAGTGTGACAGAAATAAAAGAAAGAAAATTCTGAAGCCCAGGGGCTTAGCTGGGAATTGGTTGAGACCAAAGAAAGATTTTTCTGTATTTATTTAGAATTTCAGCAAGAAATGGAACCAAAGCTGAGTTGTCCAAAAAGGTTAAGACTTCACATCAAGCAAGATCCTTGGAATCTTCCCTGCAGTGTCCGGGCTCTTGCTCAGAACATCAGAAAATTTGTTGAAGGTCAGTGTGAACAGCAAAGAACATTGTATGATAACAGCAATAATCATTTTAAAACCTATTAAAACAAAAGGTGGGTAATGCCTCATTACTTTTTGCAGTGTTTCATTTTTTAAGAAGATAAAAGGAACGGAATAGGTGAGGGAGGAGGAGAGAAAGAAGTAAAATTGCAGAACCTTGAGTTCCAAATATCAGAATATTTTAGACAATATCATAGAGAATATTCTCAGTGAACAGGAGAAAGCTCATACTCAGAGAAACAAATCAAATATAGAGGGCCTTTAATATTTATATGATATAGAAAAATTTCAAAAGATTCACAAGAGACATGAAGCCCAATGTTACGGAAAATCTAAAAACTCAATTTTTAATCTGTATGAGAATGAAAATAATTACACAGTTTTCATCATTAGCTTTTAAGTTTCTTTTTCAGAAGTGTTTTTACATCATGAAATTTTTTCATCATGACATTGTTTACGTGACATCCCATAATTGGCACAGCCTGTAAATTGAAGGGGTAAAACATGGGGACAACTCCACTAGGTTTGATCACATGATATTTGGGGTCAGAACTATTCATAGAAAATTTTGAGAGCATTCTCTGATTGTAGTAGAAAATATGAAATTAGAAACTCATCTAATTTAAAAATTGTCTAATTTAGCAGTTCACTTCCCAGTGATCAGGCTAGTGATTGGCAATGTCTGAAGAAATTTTTGGTTGTCACAGTTATGAATGTGCCATTGGTTCCTATGGCCAGGGATACTAATATCCATCTGTAATGTATACAACAGTCCTTCACAACAAAGAATTATTTGGCTCAAAGTGCTGATATTACTAAGGTTGAGAAATATGAATGATAAATATGCTTTTGTTTACATTTTTATTCCTCAATCATTTGTATATTAGTTGGAGATTAGCATAATTCTAGTAACTACATTTTTAGGGCAGATTTGAGAGCTATATACTATACTGACAAAACACAGTTCCTTATATCTGATGGAGTCAAGCAAGTCACTTAACTCCTTTATCCTCAGCTTCCTCATTTATTAAATGATAGGGATGATTCATATATTCTGTGATTATTAAGTATTAAGTACATAAAAAAATCCCTCAAATATAATGACCTGGATAATGTTTCAGATTGACAGAGAAAAAGATTGTAGAAGTGTAGAATACTTCCCATTTAGTGACAATTCTGCATTAACCTTCCCCCAAATAACAAATACAAAAAACTGCTAAGTGTAATTTTAAAAGACAGGTTAATTCAGGGGATTGATGCATATGCCTTTCAAAGTAAACGGTAACTATTCTTGAATAAATGCCAGTAACAGAGTGCTCCTAGAGGTTGTAAACCTTACAGTTATTCTTACTGTCATAGAATTTTTCTTGTTAATGATGAAATAAATTAATTTGTTTTTAGAGTGAAAATGGTATCAGTTTGGAATGGGCAAAGCCTTAAACCTTTCTTAATGTATGTGAAGAACTTTAAGATATAAACTTCCAATGTAGGATGGAAGACTTAATATTTTAATAAGCATTTATTTTGAGGACCTTATATTTTCAACTCAGGTCCTGCTTTTATACTCTTTGTACCTCAATTTGAAATTGGCAGCTGTCGACGATAACTATACATCCACATTGGCTGGCTGATATGGGTGGTGAATATTAGTACCTCTCTTGCTCAGAGGAGCCCAGTAGTTGGTTGAGTATGGTTGAGTGTGTGGAGAATATTATCTGTCATCAGTGGAGAAATTTTTGCTTGAGTAACCAATGATCACAATTAGTAAACATATAGGCCTTGCTGCCTATAAAAGTACCTCACATTTTTTCCAGCTACATAGTTTTTGTCTTTTTTTCTGTATTTCTCAAAATGTCCTAAAACATATTTTTTCATTTTCCACCTTTTTAATAATACCGCAATAATAATGATGATATTTCTGTCTAATCTCCCTGTGTTCATCTTTTCTGATTCATATATTCCATTAATAGATTCATCTTCCTGAAAAATGTTCCTGATTTCAGTACTCTGCCCCAAAGCCTTGTAGTGGTTTTCTGTTAATAAGTACGGACTCATTAATCTGATGTTACAAGCTGCATTTCAGTGGAGCTTTCTGTGTGTCCCAATCTCTGCCTCTTGATGACATCATAAAATCAGTGCTACATCATTTGATATTCATTACTCATTCCCCAGTATATTCCTTTGTTAGCACTGTGTCCCGCTGTTACCTTATACATTTCCTTTCTAATGCTCTAAATTTTCAAATTTTTATGAAATGCTTTCTAGTCTTACTTAATATTCTATCCTAGCTAGAAGTAGGTTTAGATTTGAATAAAAGCAGTTTTCAAAGATTTTTAATATATATTCATATTTATTTTTTCTACTTGGGCTTGTAAAATTGGTAGTAAGATTGATATTATCATTTATGAATGAGCTAGTTCAGACTCAAAGTAATTTAACAGCTTTCTAAAGCCATAAAGTTACAGCAGATCAGTTTTCTCTTAGTTCAACATGCCTTTTGCTTTTACAGCCTGACTTATAAAGTTTAATGCTCTTTGAATTATTTTCAGCATTTTTTAATCAGTTAACTCTAACTTTTGTGAGCCTTTCTGGAATAGGGATACAGCTTAAACTTTTGTTTCTCATGATATCCATAATATTAAGCTCAGAGAAGGAAGTTTGTAAGTTTGTAAATTTACCTGTTGAACTGTTAACCATTTGGAGGTAAATGGATATTCAGCTCATTGAACAGAGCAATGAGTGTACAGTTAATATATTTATCAAATATCTGTGATTGACTCTGTAGGATGAGGTGGAAAGAGCCATAGGGGTTTAGAGAACATCATGCAGGCTGAAAAAGCTAAGGATGATGTACAAAGTTAGCAGCATTTGAATGGTGTTTCATTGTCTCATTTAATTCAGAAATGGAAGATTTTTTAGGGTTTAAGCAGTGGATAGAATTTATATAAACAGGCAAGAGTAGCATGTCAAATAAATGGATTTTTACTACCTAACATAATAACATCATACTCATTTTTATTGCCCAGTTAAAATGAGATGTTGATTGCAGGAAAAGAGTGAAAAATTAACTAAAACGTTTTTTCTTTTCTTTCTTTGCAGAGGTGAAATGTAGAATACTCCTAGCTCTTCTTGAATATTCAGGTAATATTTTGCAATATTTATATTATTTGAAGCAATCATGGCCCTGGATCTTAGAAGTCTAATAATATAAAAGCAATGCAATTGGCATATATGATCCTTACCTTTTCTAAAGCCCTAAAGACTTAAAAAACTACTTACATAGTTTTCACAAAAACTTAATGTATATGTTCACTTATAATTATTAGTAAAAATATGAAAATATTTAAGCAGTGTCATTAAAAAGGGAAGAGATTTAGTTAAAATTAATTGCCCAAATAAGATTTATTGCAATACAATTTTATACAAGTAAAAGTGTAAGAAAGCATTTTACAGATCTTATTCATATAAAAGCAACGCTAACATGCAAAATTATTAGCAGTGGAAAATTACACTTAAAGATATTTAAAGACTTGATCAAACTCTACATAACAGATGATAGGGTGTTAGCATTATAAAGGCAGGAAGTGTATCGATTTCAATCACTAGAAGTGTCAAAAATAATAGCTTGCACATAGTATTCAACAAATATCTGTTACAAGAGTGAGTGAAAAAATTTCAGTGAAAGAGGAAAACTCTATGTTATAGTTCAGCAAGATCTTTATACAAGATTTATTTTAAAAGGACATGGATCATAGAGATTGGGAAACTCAATATAAGCCATCCAATGAGCATGAACAATTTAGTATTACTTAGCTGTATATCTTTTTTCTTTGGATTCAAAGAGATAGAAATATGTTGATAAGCATTTTTTAATTTTAATCTATTTCTCAAATGTGTGTACATAAATATACAAACAAGTATTATTATAGTTCCTTTATATTTTGGAGAGAATTTGTACACAAAAATACAAGCTGAACAATAACCTATTATATCAGTTGGCTTTCGTTATGTTTAAAAAATGCTTCAAGTCTTTGTGTCTAAAAACAATAAGCATTTCAAATTCCTCATGTGCCTAGTGTCACCTAACTGGCTCTGACAATCTGTGCCAAGTTTTGTTGGTGTTGATTGGGTTTCCCCATGTTTCTGAAGCCGGGTGGTAGATTGGCTAGGCACAGGTTACCTAGCTGACGTCACTCACATACATATGCAGCCATATCTTCACGGCCCACCCATACACAACCAGAAATGTATTTTGCTAACGACCTAGGTACCTCCCAAGCCAATTAAGTTGGCAAGCTTAACTCAAACACTATTAAATGCTGTGTACTTTTTCACCCCTTTTATTTCTACTTTTCTTCTCAAATGTCCTTTTGCTAGTATTTTTTGTTCATTTTGTTTTCCTTTCCCTGCAGTCTCTATGTTAGAATAATATCTGGGATTAGTTGTGTGCATCTAGAAACTACCTTAGTCTCTTTGGACCAGCTAATTATAGAGCTTGAACTTTGTAAACAGCAGAGGTGAAATGAAATGTGAATGTTTTTAAATGTATTTCTAGATGAGTTTATTGGTGCCAAAATGAAACTGAAGCCTTTGCTAGGTACAAAAACCATTTATTTCACATGTATTCCCACTACAAGAGAAGTCTTTCCTTATAAAAGCAATAAGCAAACTATCACAAAAACCCAGAATCCCTTCCTTTTATTCTTGTTAGAAGCTGGAAGCAGTTGTTATACTTCTTGCTGTAGCTTTCATAAAAAGAGGGAGTGAGAAGATCTTTGGAAAAGGGTGTACATTTGTGAATTTTGAATGACTGCATAATTAACAGGGGAAGACTAGATATTTTTTCTGAAAGTTAGCAGATTTTGGTTGTTTCTTTATTTATCATATTATTCCTTCACCATTCAGCAGTAAAACTGAGCACCCACTCAGGAAGTGCTAGAGTCTTAAAAAAAGAGGAATAAGGATAATAATTCTACCTAATTTCACTTCATAACATGCTGTTATTGGTTTGGATCTAGAATTTCCCCTCAGAGGGCTACATGTGTGGAGAGTGATTGGGTCATGGTGACACTACACTCATCGGTAGATTCATCCATTCATGATTTCAGTAGCTAAATGTGCTTTCAGGAAATGGGGCCTAGTTAGAGGTGATTCACCCGGGCGTGATCTGGAAATGTGTATTTTTGTCCCTGGTTCCTCCCTGCTCTCTCTGCTTTCTGGCTGCCATAGGTTAAGCACACTTTCCTCTGTCATCTTGCTTTTGCCTTGAAGCTAGCCAACCATGGACTGAAACTCTGAGCCAAAATAAATCTGTCCTCCAAGTTGAGGTAGGCATTTTGTACAAGGATGAACGTAACTAAGACAAGTGCTTTAATATTTTTTTTTTTGAAATCTTTACAGCAGACCTAAAAAGTAGGAATGAGCCCTGTTTTACAGATAGGGATCTGTTATGTAATGTGTGGCTTGTGATGGATAGCTAAAGGCAGGTAGTATGCCTGTAGTGCCCATGAGCATAACTCGGAAGATACTCCCTTTCTTCTGATGCACGGGTAGCCCTTGAGGAACATAAACGCTTCATGGAACTCTCACTATGCTGTGCAATTAGTTCCCTCCTGGAGGGATGTCCCAAGTTTGTGGTGACAGAAAGCAATTGTGGTGCTTCCTGGGGAAGAGAGGAAATTTCACAAGGGGAGAAATAAAATATTGCATTAGTTCAGGATTAATAATTCAATAAGTTGACTTTTGAACAATAATTTAAAATTTGCTGGATGGAAACAGAGTGGGCCTGCTGACAGAACACAGAAAAAAAAATGTGGGCTGTCAGGGCATTTAATATTTGATGACCGTTTAACAGTACTGCGTAGTTCAGAAAGTAGATATGTGCATCCTTTGTTCTGGTTACTTTCAGATCTGTTGTTTTATTATATTCTCACTGCAGCTCTGAAGATTAATACTGGATTATGAGAGGAATGGAGGGAAGGGGCAAATACAAAAAGGGGATATATGTCTAAGACCTTGTTTATTCTACAATTTTCTAGATTTTTCATTCACTGTGAGGTGATAACTTGTTTAAAAATTCTTAAAAAGCTCTTGAGATAGATGTATTTTGAAATCTGTGCAAACAAGTAATCTATTGTATGTTGAAAACAGGAAAGTGGCAAAGGCATATGACTTCATGAAGTCTTGAGGATTTGTTAAATGTCTTGCATTTAAATATATGTTGGTTTAAAATTTAAATGACAGTGTGATTCAAGGTATCTTGTTTATGTACATCTCTGTCACTTTATTTCTGAGCAGACATGGCTAAGTCTGCCATTTAGATTTCACTGTACCTCCAGCAATTCATGAAAGCTTTAACATCTGTGGTTATTCGTTATTAGAAGTTTGAACGAATGAATGAATATAACCTTTATGTGGCAGTTGTGTTTATCAACAGGTTTTGCATATTGGAAACACTGCTGAAGTTGTGATTTGTTAATGAGGTTGAATAAAAAAATCTCAATTTGACTTTAGTGCATGTATAATATATATAATAATAGAGAGTAAATATCTAATCATTCTTTTTAAAATAAAAAATAAATTCAAATTTCTTCTCAAAAACATTTTGGAGAGAATTATTCTACAAACAGCAAGGTTATTTACCTTTGTATCTTTACTAAAACTTGCAGTAGAACCAGAGCCTTCTTTCCTACTCTTTCTCCTCATTCTTAATATCTCCAGTATCTTTCAAATTAGACTTTATGAAGTCATTTTTAGGTTATAGGTGGGAGGATTCCTGCCAAAGCTACTGAGGTATTTTTAAAATTTCACCCAGGTTTTCTGCTTGACTATAAGAAAACTGAAGAGCAAAGTAAGAATATAAAAGGGAGATTAAAACAACTTTTTCTTCATTTCTGTCTTAAACCTCAATACTTAAGGTCTACATTGGAGCTAATAAACTATCTAAATTACCCTCTTAAGCTAAATGCTGAAATTATGAGAAGCCCAAGAATGAATTAATACATTTATTTTCACTTAATTCATTTTTAGATCTACTAGCAACTATTTTTATTCACCCATTCATTTGGAAATGTTTATTGAATTTCTACTCTATTATAAATTATGTACAAGATGTGTTTAGATTTTTTTTTGAAAATTGGACAGAGTTTATTCCAAATTTAATGGTTTTAACATTCCTTCCTATCTAGCAAGTACCCTGGGACACATGATATAGAACTTCTTAAGAGAAAAGTCTCACGCCTTAGCTTAGTTGAGATGCATGAAATTGCCATTTTCAACCATTTCAACCTACCAAAGCAGCAAGCTCATATAGCGCAACCTAATAAATTAATCTTTACAGTGTAAAATTAAATATTTTAATGTTTGATATATTTTCTAATAAAATTTTCAAGAGTGGGTGTTACTAACAGTGAAACTAATACACAGCAACTACATTATGTGTACGTGTGTGTGTGAGGGCGGTTAAAAATGAATGTTCACTGTTCATGGTAAACATAATAAAAACTATGCCTCTGTCAGTAAAACAAGAACTCAACACAAAAAATGCAGCATTTATTTCTCTGTTTTACACTAATTTGTCAATGCCTCTTTTTTTCGAAGGTTCTAAATCCTTCAAAATATTCAGTACACTTTTCAAAGGAGATTATTTTTCCTACATTGTTCTCCTAGTGCAAGTGATTTTTCAGTGTTCAGAATGCATGGCCTAGTATTTATGTAGTTTATATAACTTGTACACATCTAGTTACTGAAGAAGTTAACCTAGCATATAAAGTTCTTTTCATTAAAAAAACAAACAAATAAAAAAAAATTGGCTCAGAAATGGCAGTTCACAAGGAGGGCACATCTTCAAAGTGAGTCTACTAAAACTACAGTTAACTGCAGGATGAGACTTGAAGCACACACTTAAAAATCAATATGTGCTAAAATTATTAATCCATTACTTATATCAAAGAAATAATTAGAATTCAAATTCCTATAAATTTGGATGTATTTATTGCTCATTAAATCAAATGTCTCAATTCGGGAGATATAGATTTGTTAATTATTACAAGCAATTGGACAGCAAATTTTTTTTGTCATATTCATTTCACATTATTTGGATAATTTTAGTAGATATTTTTTAAAAGTATTACTGGTATTGAATTTCATTTTTAGCACAAACTGAAGAAATGAATTTGAGTCTTTGTAACAAATGCAAATTGTATCTCATCAGTAAAGAAAATATAAATAACCAAAGTGCTATTTTTTTCATGTTTTATAAAACACTCTAATGATTGAAGAAGAGAGGAACAGTATCAATTAAGAAAACATATTTTAGTTTTCCTAAATTTTTTGTTGTTCATTGTTTGCTAAAATGTCTGATAGCTAGCAAATTTTTGCTCCTTAATACATTCAAATTCATATTTTTCACTTGGCATGAATTGATGACAAGATGAAATACCAGTGAATGTAAATGCTTAATGAATGGGTTTTTTGTACCTACGGCATTTTTCCAAGCTCTTCTGTTCTCTTCTATCACAGACAGTGAAACGCAGCTCCGGAGAGACATGGTTTTCTGCCAGAGTCTGGTGGCCACTGTCTGTGCCTTCTCTGAGCAGCTCATGGCTGCCTTAAACCAGATGTTTGACAACAGCAAGGAAAATGAGATGGAAACTTGGGAAGCTAGCAGAAGATGGCTTGACCAAATAGCAAATGCTGGTGTTCTTTTTCACTTTCAGTCACTTCTGTCTCCGAACCTGGTAAGGAACCACAGGACACCCGATGTCTGTGTCAACTGCAATTTATGTTATACATTCCTAGAAAGATTATCCATAATAGCTTAAAAATGAAGCAACCCAAATGTCCTTCAACTGTTGAATGGGTTAACCAACGTGTGGGATACCCATACAACAGAGTGTTATTCGGCCATAACAAAGAATGAAGAGCCGATGCCGTGAAACTTGCAAAAGAGGTAGGTGTTAGAGAGTTAGCTAGTGGCTGCCTAAGCCAAGAATTGGGGAAATGAGAATGGGAGACTCAGTGCTAAGTGGTGCTGTGTTTCTTTCTGAAGTGATGAAAATATTCTAAAATGAAACAATGGTGATAGCTGCCAAGCTCCACGAATAAACTGAAAAATCCATGAGCTGTCCATTTTAAACGGGTAAATTTCTTAGTATCTGAAGTATATCTCACTGATACTGATACTGATACATTTTTGAAAACTGATCTTGTGAATCCCTTAAGTCTACTTTAAAAATTGTTTTAAAATATCCAAGCTACTGAAAAAGGAAACAATAAAAAACGCTTATGGTCTTTCTGCCTCTGTATTAAGAATATAAAACCTACCTGGGAATGTCGGGGGCCCTCTGGAAGCTATAACCCCTGGGGCCTGGGTGTCCCTGAGCTCTGGGAACATCTAGTTGTCACATGGGTGTGCTGCTGGAACCACACGGCTGGTACTGTATACTCAGCAGCCAGACTGTTTGGAGCAATTCCTCCAATCAGAAAAAGGCTAATTATTCAGTCATGCTCTTCCTTTTTAGGTTCAAGGTACTCTTCTGGTGCCTTGAAAGAAGTTTTAGAGATAACAGTATAAAAAATATTTATCCAGTACTTTTTATATACCATAAACTGTACTAAGCACCACCTATTAAGGTGCAAAGGTGACCATTAACTCCAGCTGTTTGTTCTCATGCAGTCCTTCTTTGAGGTCCAGGGCTGTCCTACTGATTCTTTTTCACACAATGAAAATTCTTCACACTTCTTTCAGCTTCTATTAATGCTGCCCTTAAATATGATAAAAACATAGAGAAACTTGTTACAGGTGTGAAGCATGTTGAACTTGTTTAAAATAAATTAAATGAATACTACCTTTTAAAGGTAGACTGTGTCTGATAGCCTAAATTATACTTTCTTTATGAGACTAATAAAAGATCCTGTAGAGAATGCATTAAACTGCTGATAGAAGGGCGGCCAGAGTTTTGTACCATTTTGTATCCACTGCTGAGATGCATGCAAATTTGTTCCCACCTCTGGGCCTTACCTTTCTCGGCCAGAAAAACATGTGTTGTAAGAATGAGACAAATGGTTAAAATAAACTAGATCCCATATTCAGAAGATTTTAGACTAAGACCTCAAAAACACAAGTGAGGTGAAAATAATTCTTGCCCCCTAGCTCTTTGGAAGACAAATACATACATAAATGGAAATTGCTTTTATCACAGTTCTAATAAACACCAAATTGAACAGTGAATAAATTATCTTATAAAATAGGATGGCTATTATGTAATATGGCTTTTAAATAAAGCAGTATTTTTGCTTTTCAGCTGTGTTTTATGAGAGTTCAGAAGTTAATAGCTTTTGTAGATTTCTATTTTTAAATGAATTCAACATAATTATAATCTAGCTGCACAATATGAAAGTCCAAACAATATAGAAAGGGAAATTTTAAAATCATAAAAAGAACGTGTAATTTTGTAGAACTCATTTATTTTATTTTGGGCAGGAAATGCTTTGAGATTTGTTGATACCATTGTTTTGTATGTTAATACATCATAAATAAAGGTATTTTTGGTGTGGATTTATATTATGTTTTGACATTTTATGACATACAATACTTTGCTATATTTTATTTTTCTTTCTTTGTAGACAGATGAACAAGCCATGCTAGAAGATACACTGGTTGCACTGTTTGATTTGGAAAAGGTTTCTTTTTACTTTAAACCATCAGAAGAGGAACCACTTGTTGCAAGTAATTATGTGTTTATAGAATTTCTTGATCGTCAGACAATAACATGGTATAATTCTCATGAACATTTTATATCTACTTATAAATTGAAGGACTGGAAAGTAACCTTTTGAATTAGCAATTCCCCATCACTAAACCTGACAAAGGCAGTGTTTTAGAAGTTATACATTCAGAGAAGTAGCATTACCTCTGCTCTAAGGTCATGTCTTGTAGTTTCTTCAGATTATTCATTTAGTATTTTAACATTGTCACAAATAGTTTTGAAATGATTTCTATCAATTGAAGAAATCTTCAGCAGTTTTCTGTTATTTTTATAAGTTTCTTACTGTTTGTAAGTGTGAGAATCCTGTCATTATGGTAGAAGATAGAAGTTTCCTCTGGGCTAGGCGAGGTTATTTTTCATCTTTCCAATGTCTGGTGTAATACACGTATTATATATTATAACCTGTGCTCTAAAAGTCATCATTGTTTAATTTGTTCACCAAAAATTTCTTGAATGCATACTTCTTGCCAAGACTATTTTAGTTGTTAGCATCCGTAGAGAAATGAATGGACTGAACTTTCTCATGGTGCGTACATTTAACTAGGGAGAGAAATTATGTCAGACAAGAAGTGAGTTTTATAATGAATTAGAAGATGCTAATAAAAGAGACTAAAGCATAAAGATGAAGGGGCAAGTGAGAAGCGGGACATAACAGGGCAGGGAAGGAAAACTCAATAGGGAGCCGAAAGCCCTGAAGGGACTAAGAGTGAATCATGCAGATTTTGGAGAGAATACACCAGATTCTTTGGACTGTGAGATAGGAAGGCATGTGGCATCCTCTTGGGCAGCAAACAGGCCTGTTTCACTGTCTTAGAGAAATTGAGAGGACAGAGAAGACAAGAACACAGACAATGTCAGACAATGTAGGGTTTGTTGGTCAAGGCAAGCACTTTGCCTACTTTCCCAAGCCATTCAGATTAACAACAGAGTCTACCTTACATGTTAGAAGGCTGTATTTGGTTGCTGTGTTGAATAGACCATTCCAGGGACAAAAGCTGAGGCCTGGAGACCAGTTAGAAAGCAACAGAATGACCTGGGTGAGAGATCATAGTGACTGTCTTAAGGGTAGCTGTGAAGATGGTTTAAAAAAAGCGTGCATGCCTTTTCTATTAATTTACAAAGGTAAAAACAGCAGGGTTTTTATTAAAATTTCATTTTCTCTAGTGAACAAGAAAGGGAACAAGAACATGAAGTACAAAGTTGGAAATGTAGGTTATATTCAAGAGAGATTTTATTTTGCTGGCAAGGGTATTATTTGATAAGGATAATATTTGAACAAATTATGTGGTCTTCTGTGGTTATGAATAGAATAGGTTGTATTTTCATTTCCTTGAATAGTGTAGGCATAGTTTTATTGAATGTAGAGAAAACTCTATTTTGTGATAAAACCCAGTACATATTTAAAGTTTCACCTGAGGAAATATAAGCTCACAGGAGTTCTCTTTCCCATGGCTCCAATGCAACATTGTTGGTAAATAGTCTGTGGAACAAGTGGAAAAACCAGCATTAAGCTTTATAAAACATTTCCTTATTGTATATCCACTGTAAGAAATTTCACTCTGGCATGTTGCAGCCTAAATATAGAGGTAACTGAGACCATGTAAGTAATGTAATTATACACATGTAGCCATGCCTGTAACAAATACAACATTGTGATATACATTCAGCAATGCATTTTTATATATTTTTTCAAGGCATAACTTTGACTTCTGAAAATAATGAATCATTGTTCAGGCAAATTAAAAACTCGGGAAAGAGGAGAATCACCCTTGCGCAGGGTTACCATGTCTTACATGCTGTGAGAACACCGAGTCTTATTATTCACTGTTGGTAGTTTCACCTTTCTTTATGTGTAGAAGCAGAGAAGTCAGATTAACTAAGGAATTCTGCATCAGTGGAATAGAGATCAGTAGGCTGCTAGTCTATGAGGCAAAGCATGAGTGTAAAGGGCAGGAAGAACGTGGTATATTAGCATTTTGTTGCAGGGACCCAATACTGATATATGCAATTTGAGGGAGGACAGATTTCTTTTGTCTCATGATGTCACTGGGTTCAACCATGGTCAGCAGGCTTCAAGGTGAAAACATCCTGGCCCCAGGGCACAGTGGAGCAAAGATACTTATTTCACGGTGGCCAGGAAGCACAGCAGGGGACAGCACCAGCGAAGGAGACAAGATCTTATTCATGCCTCTGTGACCTACCTAGACCTATACAGAAGCGTGCTTTACCTGTTCCCTATGCTGACAGTCTACCTTAACTGTCACAAGTGTAAAGAGATCATTGACTCAAGGAACCTGAGCTTAGTTCTTGGCCCAATTCTCATCTGCAAACTCAGTATTGAATGGCTTAAATAAGATAATATATTTGAAATTCTCTAGCATTATATAAGGCTAATTATAGTATTTAGTAAATGTTTGTGTCCATACACCTTACTGTACTACTTTATATTCTTTTTAGAATGCTATATTAATAGCATTACTCGTAGTCTTATTTCTGCATTAAAGAATAATATTCTAAATAATTATGGCTTGCTAAGCACATAGAACTCAAATGTCTGGTTTTAAGACATTACATTTTTACTGAAGAAGCAATTATTTAATATATGCAACACACTATATGCTGAGGTAAGTTCTAGGAATATAATGGTATATAAATAAAATAAAGTCCCTATTAGTAATGTTAGGGAATTAATAATGTTAAGAACCATATTGTGATACCGCCATCTTAGATCGGTTTTCCGGGCCCTTTCTGTACCGCCATTTTAGTTCTTTCCCCTGAGTTTCTGTTTCCCCATAATCGCGTCAGCATAAGGAATTGAAACTAGAGCTTCTGTAAAGCTAGGACCTTAAAAGGAAACATAGCTTGCTCTATGTTAAGAGAAGCTTGAGGAAATCCCCAACCCAAACCCCTATAAATAAGCCCCCCGTTTTCGGTCCTCTGTTCTGCTCCCCTGAATAAAGTCTCCAGTCGGACATCTAGGTGTGCGTGGCCTAGTTGTTGAGAGTCACTGTTCCCTTTCAAGTGTGAAGCTTAGATAGTAGAGAGCAATACAAAGGAATAAACGGGCATTTTGACCACTTGGGTGATAAGGAACTTCAGTGTCCCATTATACAGTGAAAGAGGAGTAAATTATCTAAATGATTAGACTATATGGAATTAAACTAATTTTGTGGAAAAATCTTCATTTTTTGGAGAATAATGTTACAGTAGATCTTTCCCTTTTTGTTGGTGAAACAGGCAGTTTTATAGCAATTGTTAGGAGAATAAATACACTCCGTCCCCACTATTTCTGGTGTCTGGAGCAGTGAATGCCAAAATGTCTTCATGGGGCTGACTACCTGGTTGGAGACAGCAATAGCAAATTAAGAAAAGATAGTTGGGATATGATAAATCCTATGAAGTACATGGGCAGATGCATAAAGAAAAAGGGTGAAGTGCCTTTTTAAGGGGAAGAAGAAAGCTCTCTGCAGAAGTAAGTAACTTTTAAGTTGAGATCTGAGCTACAAATGAATTCAACAAGACCCAACCCCACAAAGCATGAGGGAAGGGCACTTCAGACAAAGGAAACGGACAACTTCAATATCAAAGATTTATTTTCAAACTCGCTGGTTCATTCAATGGCTCACTGCCATGTTAAAGGAATGGGAAGACACCACTGAAACTCCTGTCTCGGATGAATCCTCTAGTATGCTACCAGAGAACGTTTCCTCCTAGAATAATGGTTTTGAAGCCTTTATTCTTTACAAAGTCCTAATCATCACCTTTTTTTTACTTAGCAGATAAATTTCCACAAGAGAAAGGCAACATTTTCAACTCCATTATTATTGTGCACCTTTTCCAAAAGTTTTAAAATTTATTGTTGAGTTTTGAAGAGTTATTTGTATATTTTAGGTGAGAGTTCTTTATCAGATGTGTATTTCCTCCACATTTGTTGTTTTCTCATTCTGTTGACATTATCTTTCTCAGAGGTGAAGTTTTAAATTTTGATGAAGTGTTGCTGATCAATTCTTTTTTTATTGATTGTGCTCTTAGTGTTATTTCTAAAACATCATCACCACACTCAAGAGTTTTCCCCTGTTACTTGTAGGATTTGAGAAATTTAAAAATTTTCTCCTTTGTGTGTGTGTTTGTGTTTGTGTGTGTGTGTGTGTATACCATTTGTTCTAGAACCATTTGTTGAAAAGACTACCTTTCCTTCACTGTATTGCCTTTGCTTCTCTGTCAGAAATAAATTGAATATATTTGTATGGGTCAGTTTTTTTTGTTTCTTCCTTCTATTTGGCTATATTTTGTACAGTGTCACACTGTCTTGATTACTGTAGTTTTATAGTAATCCTTGAAGCCAGATAATGTGTCTTTCAATTCTGTTCTTCAATATTATGATGGTTGTTCTGAGTTGGTCTTCCTTTCTTTCTCTCCTTCTTTCCTCCTACCCTCCCTTTCTCCTTCCTTCCTTCATCCTTCTCTTCCCTCCCTTACCTTCCCCTCCATCCCTTTTTTTTTTCTTTTTGCAGTACTTGGGATTGAACCTAGGGACTTGCATATGATAAGCAAGTACTCGACTGCTGGGTTACATCCCTAGCTTTATTCTGGCTTTTATCTCTCCATATACCCTTTAGAATCATTTGGTTGACATCCGTGAAATACTTTGGAGTTTTTATTGAAACTTTATATTAAACTCTAGGTCAAATTGGGAAGAAATTATTATCTTGACCATGTTGAACACGGGATATTTCTTACTTTTAATTTTTTATCAGAAACATAGTTTTCTCAAATTATACATAAGTATTTCATTTTTAAGAGGTGTTCATATAAATGATACTGTGCTTTTCTCATGGTAAGAACTAAGATTTCCAATATGATGTTGAGAAGGAGTAGTGAAAGGAAACATCTTGCATCTTCCTGATTTTAGCAGAAAGTCTAATTTCTCATCATTGTAGATGATGTTAGCCAGAGGTTTTATGGCTATTCTTTATCAAGCAGAGAAAGTTCTGTATTTCCTGTTGAGTGAGAGTTTTTTATTTTTTAAATCAGTAATTGCTGGATTTTGTCAAATGTCTTTTCTGTATCTACTGATATGATCATGGATTTTTTTTTACTTTTTACTTTGGTGGATTGCACTAACTGATTTTCAGATATTGGGCCAGCCTTGATTGCATACTTGAATAAGTTCCATTTGATTGTGGTATATAACTTCTTAATATGTTATTAGATTGTATTTGTTAATCTTTTAGAAGATATTTTTACCTATATGCATGGGAATTATTGTGCACTTTCACAAGTACAACATTTACTTTAAGACAGTTTGCATTCTTTCACATGATACTTGTAATTTTACCATCACTTTAAAATATATACTTGCTAGTTTATTTTGTTTGTTTGTTTGATTTTTGGTACTGGGGATTGAACTCATGACGTTGCCCTTGTGAGGCAGGTGTGGTAATTGCTAGTTTTTAAGTAAGCTTTAGCTTTTTAGTTCCTAATATAATATCTTCACTTCTATATTAGTCTTATGAGATTCCACCTGCTATATTATTATGTTCCTTTCTACAACATTATCCATTTGTTAAAAGTGATTAGCTACACTGATGCTAAAGAGTAAGAGTGTGTAATTTGTGTTAGTTAGTTTTTCCTCATTTCGACAAATATCTGAGATAACTTAAAAGGAGAAAAAATTTATTTTGGCCCATGCTTTAGGAGGTTTCAGTCCATGGTTAAGTGGCTCTGTTGACTGTGGGCCTGTGCCAGGAAGTTAATTATAGCAAGGGACTAGGTGGGAGAGGAAGCTGCTTACCTCCTGGTGGCTGGGAAGCAAAGAAAAGGAAAGAAGGAATCAGATTCCAACATCCTGTTCAAGGGTGCACCCCCTAATACTTCACTTCCTCCAAATGGGCCCCACCTCCTTATGGTTCCACCACCTTCCGATAGTGCCATAGGGTGCTGGCCAACCCCTTGGCATGTAGGTCTTTGCAGTCATTTAAGATTCAAACTATAAGAATTTTTTAAAAATTGAAATATGTATGACAGTGACTGAAAAGGAGAAATAGAAGATACAAACAATTAGTGTGCATGTGTGCATCATTTCTATAGTTTCCATGCATCTTTTTCAACTTAGAAAAAAGAAGCAAAAAGAAATATTTGCCAAGTCATTGAAATGCTGTTAATTCACAGCCCTTAACTAAGAACCTCATTTTTCCTCTTCCCTATACCAATCTCTTCATGTGTTCCATTTGAAAAACAAAGCAATGAAAAAGCATTATTTTATGGCAAGAAAAGAGATTTGTAAATGTTAATGCAATGTCTCCTTTATTGATTCACAGAGTTTAGCAGAGATACATTTAATAAGCAGCCTAAAATCTATGATGATAAATGACATTTAACCTTGAACACTACTTTTATATCAGTTTATTTAATATTATATTAAGAATTGTATTAAATGCCTGCTTTATTTTGTCCTTAATTTTTAAGTAGCTAGGGTGACTGACTATTCTAGATTTTTAGGAAATTTTAGATCCTTTTGTAAAGAGGTAGAAATATTTGTCATAGATACATGTTACATAAGAAAGGAAGCCAGGCATGGTGGCACACTCCTGTAATCCCAGCACTCGGGAGGCTGAGGCAGGAGGATCGCTGTGAGTTTGAGATCAGCCTGGGCTACATAGTGAGTTCCAGGTCAGTCTCGACTACACAGTGAGACTCTGTCTCAAAAAAAAAGAAAAAACAAGAAGGGAATTATGATATCATTTTATCATTTTTAGATACTTATACAATATAGTATTTTGCCTTTTCAAATATTTGATTTTTTAAATAATTAAATTTAGCATCTTTAAAAATAGCTAAAGAGTTTGGACAGATAATGTCTAATGTCTGCAGGGCATCAACAGAGGGTGATTCATTTTTGATCTGGTGCTCAGGGAATGAAGCTTACAAAGCCCATGCTAATTTGTTAATGGCTGCTATGTATTTAATTTCTTGCACACTACTTAAAAAGTGTGCCCCAAGGCCTCATTTTGGCTAAAATATGAGCAAAGCAGCTACCCTTGGAGATTCTGAAACCAAACCATGTGTAGCTGAACTCCTCATTTAGTTAAGTGAGCCATATGGTATGGCCAAGCATAACGATGTTGCCCCTTACAGACTTTCGTGTGCACTACAGTAATAAATCTGTTGCTTTAGCTAATGAGAACCTGATTTAATATTCTTTCGCTGAACTAGCACTTATGTCTAACCTGGATGTGATACACATGAGCACTTTCAGTATATACTTGTCTAGGAATTTCAGCGTTCTTTGTAAAAGGTTAAAAAAAAACTATCTTAGTCAAATATGTTATATAGTATATACTGATTTCAGGGAGTAATGCAAACTTTGATGTCATTTTAGATGTACCTCTTACATATCAAGCAGAAGGAACCCGGCAAGCTCTGAAAATTTACTTCTACATTGACAATTATCATTTTGAGCAACTGCCTCAACGGTTGAAAAATGGAGGAGGGTTTAAAATTCACCCTGTTCTTTTTGCACAAGGTAAAATGTTTTCCTTATTATGCTTCACATACTCATTTTTTTCTCTCATTGAGTTTATTGGTACATTTTAGGTATACAGTACAGTTACATTCATTATTGGAATCTTGTACCTTTACATGACAGGTCTTGGTTCTCACTTTTTCCCCTTGTCCCTGTCCTACCTTCACCCGCTCCTCCCCTCCCCATTTACAAACACTTTATTTCCATTTTTTCATTTTCTCATATTTTTTCTTTTCCCTTATTATCTTTCCCCTACCCTTTCACACTTCCCCTACACCTTTAGCCCTTTTCTTCCTATTTCACATTGTCAGTTCCACATCACTAGTCATTCGAGAGATGCAGATGATAAAAACACTGAGATTTCACCTCACCCCACAAAGAATGGCTGCTATCAAGAAATCAACCAATAGCAAATGCCGGCAGGGCTGTGGGGAGAAAGGAACCCTTCTCCATTGTTGATGGGAGTGCAGACTGGTGTAACCACTATGGAAATCAATATGGAGATACCTCAAAGAGCTGGGACTAGAGGTTCCATTTAACCCAGCCATCCATCTGCTGGGTATCTTTCCAAAAGAATTAAAAGAATCATATCACAGTGATATATGCACACCTATGAGTATAGCAGCACAGTTTGTAATAGCTAAAACTTGGAAACAGCCCATTCACATACTCATTTTAAAAAATAAATGTAATTTTAACAATAAAAAATTGTTGTTAATTGGAAAATTCTCTATTTTTTTAGTTAATACATTTACTTCTGAGAATTTTTAGGAAGCAAAGAATGATCTATGATTTAAATATTTATTAAATAGGCTTATAGAATTATTTACAAGGGAGAAAGATATGAGTAGTTTAAATATGAGAACTTTAAAAGCATTAAATAAATTTGCTTAAATAAAAGTTAAATCGGCATGTAATGAATAAAATTGTTGGTTAACATACTTGATGAAATAGAAAAAGTTTGACAGTATACACATGCAGATTATTTTAAAATATATTGTAATGTTAATTATTATATATACATTGTATGTATACATATAAAGTTACATGTATATGAAATATTTTCTGCATCTTTGGGTGGTTAAACTGATGCTTTTAAAAGACATTTTATATATCAAAATTTTTATCAAGAAATACATATTACTGACCTTTTTATAAAAAATATATTCATGCTGGTAGAATTAAGAGTAATGTGGTAAGAAGATTTTTGCCATTAGTGAGGCTCCCCAGGGAAGATCATAGATAGATCTTTTTTATTTCTGAGGTCATAAGTGCTGCCCAGAAAAGATCAGAAGTCCAGATTACCGGCTAGTCTCTTTTGGGTTAGGCCCTTTCCCAAAGTCCCTGAAATAAGCATACAGGTGATCACAAGATTACATCAATTTCTTTGAATGATACCATGAGGAGGGTTTTTTTTTTTCCTTTTGGGTTTTCAAGAACTGCATTGGTTTTGCTGTGGGCTTTTAATGTTCTAATAAAAAATGAGAAGAGTAGGAAAATAAAATCAAGCTGTAAAACGGAAGAATAGGCAGGTATATGAAATCTAAATTATGATTTATAGGTAAAGTCATTGTATGTAATAAAGATTCGGTAAGAAAATAAAAGTGAAAAACAATGGGCAAAAATAAAACTTTTGAGATAAAAGGAGAATAATATAACCTCAAATATATCAAATATCCTTAGAAGAATAGACAGTTTGAGAAGACAGAAAGAGTCTGATCTAAAATGTTAACTTTTACAAGGTTTAATTAAGGATTAGAGTTATTTGCAGGTTCTTCATTTATTTTCCTTTATTTCTCCTTTTTTAACTCTCTTTGAAATTGTTTCTGATATAACAGATGGAATCAAGTATCTTTTTATAAAAAAATTGTTGCATTTAGGATCCTTTACTTTTTTTGTTTTGTTTTTTTTTCTTTTTTATTGAGTTTATTGGTACATAATAGGTCTTGATTCTCATTTTTCCCCTTGTCCCTGCCCTCCCTTCACCCCCTCCTCCCCTCTCCATTTACAAACACTTTATTTCCATTTTTTCAATTTCTCATATTTTTTTCCTCTCCCTTATTACCTTTCCCCCACCCTT